ACATGCTTGCATATTTGTTAAGATTTTTTTTTCTTGAAATCCACATTTGACAAACATCTGTGCCTTTTATTGAACCCACTCACTATTGGAACACTGGCAGTAAGTGCAAGCAGGCCTGATATTAGTAGTAAAGCAGTGTTAGTACATCCTATTGATGTTCTGATTACTGCCAGTTAATTTGACCCTAAATGCATGTCCTACATTTCATCACAGACCTCAAAGGTACAGTGTGTAATAATTTCAGGTTTTTACTGACAAAAATGTAAGATATTATCAATATGTATGTTATTTAGAATCCCCTCTGAACAACCTTAGAAATTGCTGTTCATAGGAGTACATAGGAGTGGGTTTGCATTTGTGGAGGCAGACATCTTTTGGGCTATGGCAGCTTAGAGCAGACAAAGTATTCCGAGACACCAGACGGAAATTTTATATTGGTTTTTAGGCTACACCTGGTCAGTCTGTCATAGTCTTGATTTAGTCCAGAAATAGTTGTTGAAAATTGGGCTATGTTTGGTCGATCTGACTGTGCGCCACTTTAGTCCAATAAAAGATGTCGAAAAGATGTTGAAAACGGCTTTTAACATTTCAATATTCAACCAAATGTTGACATCTTTTCAGTGTCTTTTTAACCAATTTTTGCTTGGTGTGTGGTGACCATAGAGATCCCTATATTGCTCCAACGGGATGTTAATGGCAAGTTAGGCCTATGTACAATCTTAAATCTGACTCATTAAATACTCTTTATAGGGGCGAGGGTGTCGTGGGGCAACAGTGGCGTCGGGTGTAAGAGTTTTCCCTAAAATTTAATGGTTGATGGTTCAGTGTCCTTCTGTCCTTGGGCAAAGACACTTCACCTGCATTGTCTACTGATGGTTGTCAGCTAAAACCTTTTATTCTTAATTCTTCATTATCTTTAAAATTTCTCAGAATATCCCTGAATTTAAGGATGGTAATACATGACTTAAAATCGTATAGTGATATGACACAAAGAACATTTTTTATTGGAAAAGAAAAGAGAGATCGTTATCTAAATTAGGCAGCTGGGACCCCAGTTTGGATTGGCAGCAGACAGGATCAGAATCCTGAAACCTCACTACAAGAAAACCTTTTCAACAACATCAGACATTAAAAAAACATGCCAACTATATCTTTGGGAACAATCTGAGGAGAAAAATCTTTTTTTCTCCCTACTAGGAACACCAAATATATTCAGAGTTTACTAATCTTGGACTATAACTGGAACTGTGTGCTTTAATAACATGACACTAAAAAAAAGCTTTTAGAACAGTTATTAAAAGAAAAAAAAAACTGGTATTTTGAACTAAAATGTTATGAATTCCATCACTTAAAATCTGTGATTATTTGGTCTTTTAATGGGATAATCTCAACACATACATTTATTTCTACATACATAAAATGAAAGTCCAAAAACCTAAATATTATTTAAAAACTTAAAAAATAATTAAACCACAAGCGAGCTTGTTAAAACAAATATATATCTGAATATGTGAATTAAATTTAATCCATCATTATATACAGATTAAAACATAGATTAGACATTTTCAACTGATCCAACACAAAATATAGTATGGTTGAAACTCTTCTTCTTTTATACAGCTGTACGTTATCCATAATCCTCCAATATTAAAGAGCTAATGGCTCAATATGATCCTAACAGAACACTTCAATCTCAGGCAACAGGTGTATTGGTTATTCCCATACAGCATTATCCAAATAGAATGGTAGGCAGAGTTTTCAGTTATCAGCGAACACATTTGTTTAACCAGCCCTCAGTGTGCAGTTCTTAAGCAAGACCCCTTTTCTATTTTTTTTTAGACTTGTAAGTAGTTTCCTTTTTAATAAAGCTTATAGTTATTGTGATTATGGTTATCCTGGGATATCTCTGTAGTTAGGCTTCTAAAGTATAGCCTGCTAGAAGGCAAACTGACCACTTTTTCTCAGTCAACCATTTCCTCCTCTAATCTCTATCCATTTATGAATAATTAGCAATAATAGGTGCCCTGAGTCTATTGTTCTCTGTGTTTTTCTTCCCATTAAAGGTATGCCTGCCCCATTCACTTAGCATACTTCTTCTGTATCTATTTAACTTACTGTGCATGAATTAAAAACATTTCTTGCCAAAGTGATCTCAGGTTTGGTCAGAATTAAACATAACAGGAAGATAAGATTTCCATTAAGGCCAAGTTGTTTCTTGTTAGCAATGCATATGCAAATTAATTGGCTGTAAAGCAACCATGTCACATGGCATAGCATGAAAACAAAATACACTGCACCAAATGAAAATAAACCAACTTTATAATGCTGTATATACCTGGACAAAAAATACCTTTATGATGCATTTAAATGGCTTCAAATAGATATAATTAACTTTACTTTCTAAATAGTTTGTCTTTGTTTGTCTCTTTTGAATTGGAATTTCATAGTAGCTTTTTTATTATAATACATTTTTAAAAAAGAGTTTTGACAACAAGCTTTTTACTACGGTATGTTGATTATGTGTGTCAAAAGTGAGACCCAGTGTCCATTTGTGGTCCTTGCCCATATCTTACAATTACACATCCTTTCTGCACAAAAAAGCAGAATATTAATATTTTATTCTTTTAGGGAAAGCATTTAATTTTATTCATTGACAAAGTTTTTAACCTTTAATCTATTCATTTTTTTATGTAGCCAAAAACATCAAGTAACTTTTATTCAAAGCTGGCTTGGTTGCCACTTTGTTTTGGCCTGCATGTGCTTTTAAATTGACAATTTGGCACTCTTCAGAAAAAAGCATGGCCTGTATAGAAATGTAAACATACGCGCTCAGTTCAAGGGTTGTAACCTGCTGAGCTGAGAGCGGAAGCACGTCTTCTCTCTGTCAGTGCTGATGGGTCCAAGCAGCGAACCTGAAATGAATACCCAGCAAGGATCAAATACCGACTGACTTTTATTTAATGACCAAGCTTTAAAACAGTCCACCTTACTTAGTTTTTAATATCCATGACTGTTACCGGCTTTAAAGCTTTAACAGCATAATTAGACCTTCTGTTGAATGTATAAAGCAGACAACATTTTTACTCTCTATCAAAGCCTTTCCATTATTTTCTTTAATGTATCCCAGTTTGGTGCCAGTTTAAGCATTACAGAGGGGATGAAGACACAGAAGCGTATTTGTGTAAATAAAACTGGAACTGTACTCACTGACAAGAATACAGGAACAGTGAACATGGTTTCTGACTGTGTTTGGGCTAAATTCTCTGAGGTTATGTTCAAGAGAAAATCCAGAACCTCAGTAAAGATCTACTGCTTTATGTTTCATCATATGGCTCACTGGGTCTGACAGTTTTACCTTCTCTCTTTAGTGAATGGGTAGCGAAACACATCAAATAGCTTTAGGATCAGCAGCCACATAGGAAGCTGGTCTATGGTTTTATCTAAGTATGATGAAGAAGAATAAACCAGTCTGTTTAAGTATTTAGATGGCTTTGAGTACTTAAAGTGTGAAACCTACAGTAAAGAAATCAAATTCAGCCTTCCCATACTTTTCTTTCTTGCTAAGGTATTTTTGAAAGTACTTGATAGCAACAGAACCCACCAAAAACTCTGAAGCCAAATCTCTCCTAAAATCACAAAGTATGTAAATATGTTGATGATGATATGTAATCTGGATTTGTATCTTTTTCCCCACAAAAGTCTGTTTCAGTTTTAAAGCAGCTCTGTGCAACTTTTAGTCACCAAGAGCACTTGACATTTCAACTTCAGGTTAGTTCTCCTAAAGGCCACTGGCAACACTGCACTGCTGCAAAAGTTAAGCCGGGATGAAACATTTAATTTAAAGTGCTCTACATAGTTATTTGATGTCAATACTAGAGTCTTGAGATATTCAAATGTTAATGATTAAAAATAAGGCAGCTTTCTAAAAGAAAAATGGTCTTTTGCAGGTTCTGTTTTTTGCCCGTATAAGCTGGAAGAAGATTGATTAGCAAACACTATAGACGTACACACTGAAACAGTTAGAAATAGTGATGAAAATACTTATAAATCTTCATCAAGTGAGAGTATCTTAATGGATTATAAACAGAATCCAATCGATGAACAGGTCCTGCAGCCGCTGCCCTGACACCTTGTTGGATGAGGAACATCCATCCATCGATCCATCCATTCCTTTTCTGTCACGCTTAATCCCTCTGGGGTCGCAAGGGGTGCTGGTGCCTTACTCCAGCTATCTATGGGTGAGAGGCGGGGTACACCCTGGACAGGTCACCAGTCTATCGCAGGGCAACACAGAGACACTCACACCTAAGGAGAATTTTTAGAGAAGCCAATTACCCTAACAGTCATGTTTTTGAACTGTGGGAGGGAGCTGGAGTACGGACAAGGAACATATTTAGGCTTTTTTTAGGCCAGTAAAAGACCCCACTACCCTTTTCAGAGCCATGAGTTTCTAGACATCTCCATGTTATTGCAAATAAAAGCATAAATGTGTTGAATAAAACCAAAACTCATCTTTAGCTCCTGTCAGACAATAACCCAGTGTGCAGTCACGAGTTTTGAAATGACCTCAGAAACTTGGACCCAATATTCAGACAGACAGTTCAGGATGATTTTCATCAGGCCTAATTGAAAACAAAACACAGCGAGTGGTTGGTCGTCAGCGGGGCGGAAAACCGGATTCTCTGCAGAGATAGGAAACACAGGTTAGTGACTGTAAAATCGGATTGATCATGACTAGGAGCTTAAGTCACTGACCTGGTTTAAAGTCCAGTCCAATCCCAGAGGAGAGGGGAGAATCCGGGAGGGAGTTTGTCCTCCATTTGCAGTTGTAGGCGCTTCCAGAGCTCTATTGGATGTTGAGCTGACACCAGCCGTACTGAGGAAGCAAGTGTCCGTGAGGAATGTCCAAGCTGAGGTCAGTGAAACAGTCCAAGTTCGGTAACCAACAGTATCCAGGAAAAGAGTCCAGGAAAACCAGAACAGACAGAAATGCTGCGTCTCAATTCGCAGGCTGCGTACTTGGTAGGACGCATTTTGAGGCCGGTGACGTCACAACGCTGCGCGGAGGCCGTCCCATTTGGCAAAAATTCTGAGGACGCTTAAAATGCAGCCTTAAAATGCGTCCTCCTTTTCCCCGAATTCTGAGGATGCATCGCTACCGTCCTTAGTGGCCTCGCCTCCCACAAGATTTCCCGAGGTGCTTTGCGCGCTTCTTCTTTTTGTTTTTTTTTTTTCTAGTAGTTGAAGAAGAAGAAGAAGAAAGCCGGATTTTCTTCAAGTTACGGACAACCGAAAGCAGCAGCAGCGCCGGCAGTAGTGGGGAGAACACCTTTAAATGTACGTAGTTTGTTTTTGTTTCTTTTTAATGAACATCTATTAAAATACATGACGGTAACTGAGCCACCGGAATGTGTAGGAGCAGCTAAAGCTAAAGCTAAGAGCTAACCTGTTGATACGTGATGTTCATCAACAATTAAAAGCCTTCATACAAATGTCACTATTTTTTATTTTAACCTACATCTTACTATACTGATAGCCGTGTCCCTCACTAATCGGATCTATTTATTCTCAAACAGTTTATTACAAAGTATTAGAGCTGTTAAAGCTTAATGCAGCTGAAGAAATAACATTAGTCCAGCTGTACTGGGCTGTTAATACTGCAAACGTTTTGTTTTAATACTCAATAACGTATAGTTTATTTACAGTACAGTATAATAAGGTTTAAAGTATAATTCACTTGAAGAACAATACAGGCGTAATTATACAGAACAGTCATTTTGCCTGTTGACATAACAGAAATATGCTTTACATGTCATTTTGTTCCAGGGATCAGACAGAGGAGTGGATAAAATGACCACCTCATCATCGGGGCCAAAAATACTGCTGCAGTCGGATGGAGCGAAGAGTTGAGGCAGAATTCCATCTACATGTTGCATTTCTATGTAAAAGTCACACAAGTTAAAAGAAGTCCTGTTCAAACACAAACGTACAAATATAATCTTTGATCACATCAAATGATGCTCAGATGCCACTTTTTGTAAATCTCATATTTGTGATAGAAGTGATCCTTGTGTGGGACAACTTAAAAAAAAAAAAAATACAAAGTATGTTCAGGTTTGGATAATGTAATGAAACACACACACACCTATATATATATAATGTATGTATATGTATGTGTGTGTGTAGGGAAATTACATCTTACATTTATTATATTCATGTTAATTTCCTCTTTGAGTAAGCTTAAAAAAGTAATCTCCAGGTTACCATTCCAAAGTCTTTTTCTGTAGAATTTCATCAATCCATCCAAATCATGAAACATTCCTTTTTTCGAGCTTTAAAGAAACACTTAGAAAATAGCATCTGTTGATACAAATTGTTTTCCTCTACTTTAGGAATGCAAAGATCCAGGGCGGGAGGTCAGTGGGAATCCTACTGCTGCCACCTGGCCCTGGTTTGTCCTCATGGATGAGGTATTAGGACAGAGGCCCTCTATTGCCCCACCTGTCCTAATTGCCTCCATCCCTGAGGACACACCAGGGCCAGGTGCTGCAGAGGCTGAGCAGCATCAGGGTGAAGATGAGGAAGAGAATGAGGATGAGAGGCCAGGAGAGAGGAGGGAAAGGAGGAAGAGAAGAAGGAGTGACGAGTTGGTGGATTTAATCAGGGAGGAGATGAGATGGCAGAGGGAGGCGGGAAAGGATGGACAGATTATTTCATTTATTGGAGAGGATGGTGGACAGATGTTATTATTTTTTTGGTGTTTTTTTTTTTTAACAAGTTGAAGTTCTGTGTTGCTGTTATTAAATTAAATTATTAAATTGTTTATAAAAGTTATTGCTGTCGGTGTGTTCTTAAACTCTTTTAACCTTTTTACATGATCTGTTTCATCACTTCTTTGTAATTTAAGCAAACTTAGAACAACTTCTCAGTGACATCAGTTTATTTTTAGAGAAGCAAGTATTTACAATAAACTATTAAACATTTTTAACTATTGACATTAGATTTTAAAATTAACTACTACAACTATTTACAGAAGATATACAGTAAATATTACTAGAGAACATATATATACAATTGTGACTGAGCAGGAGTCCCTGGTGCTGCTGGACTGGATGCGGTGCCACACAGATGAGCTTGGAGTCTTCTGACTGCGAGTGGGACATCATCTGGGGGGTGGGGGGGATGCCTCTCTCCACTGCTGATCCAATCGATGGCTGCCATGTTACTAAAAATTTTCAAAAAGACGCAGAAAATAATGACTTTACTAAAACTGTTTTTATAACCCTGAAATGAGAACAGCTAAAATGTGATTCTACTTTCCATCTAAATGCAACGGTGGTCAGGTAGACCCTCCTCCAGGGTAGACCCTCCTCCAGGGTAGACACCTCAGCAGACAGCTGGTCCCTCCAGTGAGCACCACTGACTGCCTCCAACACGTTCTCCCCCTCTTCATCCTCTGGCATGTCGTCCTGCTCTTCATCCTCTGGGGCTGTTATGACCTGTAGAAAAAAAAAGACAAAAATATTTATTTTTATTCAGTCATCTATCTTTTTTTTCCTTATCTTTATTACATGATTTATTAGAAATTAAATTTTACTTTATCTAGATCCACTATTTAACTTAGTTTTTTCGTTTTTATATGTTGATTTTTTTTTCCTGTATTATGTTTATATATATATATATATATATATATATATATATATATATATATATATATATATATATATATATATATATATATATATATATATATATATATATATATATATATATATAAAAAAAAATTGCAAATAAAATCAGGCAGTAAGGGGATAACAATTTAGACAAAAATGATTTATTTCTCAACAGTTTGGCTTTTCAACACAACATTAGTAATGGTGAAAGTAGTGATTTAAGTCAGTTATTTACAGGGTTTGTACACATTTAACTATTCAATTCAAATTACTAAAGTTACAAACAAATAAATTACAAACCTACAAATAAATATAAAATTTGATATTTAAACATATTCATCAATCTGCTGACAGGCGTTTATTTAATAGCTGGTATATTCTGATCATTAGCAGGGCCCTGTGGGTTAGAATAATAGCAGGTAGATCTTACCTCTCCACTGCGCTCTGCCAGCCTGAGAAAAATCTGTCGCAGGTTTTGCTTCCGCCGAAGCCGTCAAAGCGACTCTCCTCCTCCAATAACAAGTAAATAAAAAAAATAAAAATTTCCATATCTATTTTTTTGTTGTTTCTTTCCGTATTTCTCGAGCTGTCGGATTTTGTTTCGCGCTGTGTTTGGGGTAAACGTGATGACGTCGTGTCGCAACCAGGAAGTGCTCCAAAGGCTAGACCGTCCCATTTACCAACGGCTGAGGATCCTCCGGAGCAGCCTACCAAGTCTGGGTCCTCCGGAGGCTAGGTAGGCTGCGTCCTCGGAAGTACGCAGCCTGCGAATTGAGACGCAGCCTATATACTTCAGCTATAGTATCTAGGTGTTACTTTATAGTATGTCTTGTACCCTTTCCTTTGGTTGTACTGTTCTTTTTACATCTCTTTGCAGGTGATAAAGCAGATTGAAGATGTTTTTATCATTATCTCCCTTTTATCTCATCTTTCTTTAATCTTTTCTCCTATTTTCTGTTTTCCCTTTCCTTTTCTAGTTACATTGCAGTGTCCAAATAATCTGTAAAACTCCCTGCATAATTATAAAAAAGCTATTGATATGCATAAATCAAGCGAAACACTATGACGATAGCCGTACTGCTCCACTTGTGGAAGTAAAATCTGTTAAAATCTGCTCTTTTTGGCATCAAGACAAATACCCTTATTATAGTGCTTTTTTTATTTGGCTGAACCATCCGACAAAGTTTTTTTCTCTGCATTTGTTAAAGGAATAGTACACCCAAAACATGATTAGCCTTCATTTTCTACTCACCCCCATGCTGAACAACACTCTGGAGTACTTTTTTGATATCTCAAATGCATCTGGAGATCTGGGAGGCTTCTTGCTGTCTGCCGACATTCAAATAATGGAGGTCTATGGTGCCCGAGGCAGAAAGGTCCATAAAAGTCCACAAAAAACGTGTCAATATTCCTCCATACTGCTCGTCCAATGTATTCCAAGTGTCCTGAGTGGGTAGCGTCCATAATTTACTCGAAACGAAGTCATTTAGAATGTTTTTAGAGCATAAACAGTAGTGTATAGGATTTCCTAAAAGCGCGTTCACGAGTCTACGGAAACCGCGGCAGACCAAACCAGATGAAAGTGCGCATTCAGCTCGGCAAAGAACTCATGCTCTTCCTCAACACTCAAGTCCTCAGACATTTTTCTTTCGTTGTTTCTTTCTTTGCACAGGTAAACAGCACATTTCTTCTTCTACGCTTGCATTATCGGCAGAGCAGACGCTGAATGCGCACTTTCATCTGGTTTGGTCTGCCGCGGTTTCCGTAGACTCGTAAGCAGGGAGTCAATACTCTGACTTCCAAGAACAGGCAGCTAATTCCTTGATTTTTATGTTCTGTTGTAAGCACATAGTGCCAGTCTGACTCCACAGTTTAACTCAATGACAGCTCTCCAAATGTTAGATGTTTAGGTACAATAATTAGTCACTTTATACCTGTATTTTAACCTACTTTATATCTGTACCATGTTCAGCTTTCGCTCGAAGAGACAATTAAGGCCAAAATGCATGTTTTTGTAAGAAACTGTCAACAGTCCTATCTAACTGACAGCAACACCACTATAGCGCAATTCAACTCTGCCAAGAAAACAAAAGTGAGACATAACCATTGCTCACCAACATAAGGTGGGTCTAACCAGTCTAACCAGACTTTCCCACCCTAGACTAGACTTTAACAGTGCAATTACCTGCATGTGCACATTGACGTAACAACACTGGTTAGCAGCAGTCACATTATACTGACTTCTGTCAGAATGATCTAATTTATTTATTTATTTATTATCAGAATTTATTTCCCTCTGTGTGGAATTGCAAATAGCTTCTGCTTGCAATGGAGTACTTTTAACCTTTAGGTAGGGTGCCTGTTTTTTAAGTCTCCAAGCTAATGCTCCTAGACAATATTTATGATGATGTCCTTACCCTTCTTTGGGGACACAACGCTATGGATACCTTTACAGCAGGAACTTAAAATTACAGAGTGCTCTACTTCTATTTTTTTTTGTTATGTAACATAGCTATGTGGGGGTAAGAGCATAATCACCTATGGAAAGTAAAAGTTTCTACATAACATATGGATCCATTACATTCTCGTAAAACATCATTAATTCTTTATAGTCTAAAAAAGACTATTTATTTTTCTCTCTGATTTATAAATTTTTTTTTAAAGCACATCCTACTTTATAAAATGCTGCTTTATAACAATTACTGTAAATCAGTTATCAGTTTTATGCAGTTTGATCTTTGAGCTGTTTTTGGCACAAATTGCTTTAGCAGCCTGTCATAGAAAGAGAGGCACACTGCCAATAATTGAATGTTACAGCTGAAAGTATCAGTGATGAATAAATTATTTATTATGTGAATGTTTTTTAAGCAGTAATAATTATGCATTTATAATAAAGCATAAATCTCAGTGGTTAGATATTAAGATAAAGAAAGATAAAATAAGAATATCTGATGATGCACAGCTGACAACAAACTGCTTTTAGTGCCACAGAATGTTTCTGTCTACTCTTATGCTTAAGTTTGAATTAATAGAAGCAAACTTCACAAAGAGTCTTTGGTCAAATTTGAACTTAGATCTTTGTCCCTTTTCACTTTTTTTTTGGATCATAATGTCCTACATAAAATCTCACATACTTCACTAAAGGGTGATAACCTCATTTTCTTCTATATGCAGTTTCTTAGACATATCATTGTTCCAGATTTTTATTTTGCTCTTATTTCAAAGAACTGTAAAGTTAAGAGTTGTTTCACCAAATCTTTAAAGCTTGGATAATTACATGGTGTTTTTCTTAATATCTAAAAAGAAAGGCCTTGCACAACCATTCTACAGGCAAGTGTTTGGTCACTCATTTTTTTGCTTGACTCCTATTCTTTTTAATCCAGAAATGGATATGGATACAGGAGATATGGATGACATCTTGCATAGATCCTGTGGGCAAGGATCTAATTCATTAAGAAGATGCCATCCATTTTTCATCACCCTTTTCCCTGATGGGGAATCCTGCTCTCCAACTGGACAACAAAATAGATCAATTCCAACTCGAACTCTTTTCAAAAAAGGAGATTAGTAATTGTTGCGCCATCATCCTGACCAAATCATGGCTTAATTCATCTATACCGGACAATGCCGTTAGCTTGGATGTGCTGCTCACATTGTGTTGACAGAAACGGCAAACTCAACAGAAAGACTAGATGAGTTGGGCTGTTTGTTACATTACCAACAACTGGTTTAAAAATGCCAGAACGGCAGACCCTTCAATCTGCCTAGAGAGTTCACTGTGGTTAGCCTCACTGCTGTATATGTCCCCCCAGAGGGCGCCCATTATTCTGTTTTACCAGGTGATTTCTAAGCTTTAATCTGCACACACACAGGGAGTTTTCATTATTGCTGGAGATTTTAACCAGGCTAATTTGAAGTCTGTGAGCCCTCATTTTTACCAACATTTAAACTCAGTGACAAAACTCAGTGTTTTCTAAAGCATTTTGCATCATATCTATTTATTTGTTTTTGCACTGCTCTGAACCTTCCACATCATTGCTTTTTTGCACCATGTGCTTTATAAATGGAAATGTTCTTTTCCACTGCTAAGCCTCTGCTCATTCACTATCGGTAGGCTGTGTGTAACAAAATGTTGTTTTATACACACTATGTGTACAGTCTAACTCTCTAAAAAGCAGAGAGAGTATAAGATTGGTGGAATTCGCAACATATTACAAAGAAAGGATATAGAATCAAGCTGAATGATGAAAAGTGGTACCTATGTCCCCCTGCAGTCTAAATCTATAGCAGCATAAATATACAAAAAAATTCCCAGAATAACCTTACTATTTTGGATGAGTTATGAGAAAGATAGAGCCAAGGACTGCTAAATTGAAGGCCCTGTCAGATATGCTTAAGTTAGGGAATGAAAATACTGTACCAAGTGCACAGAAAACATAGACCAAAGTCTGAGGTTTTCTAATGTTTTTAGAACCAGAATCTCTAGTAGAAAGGCAAAATTTACTTTCAGTTAAGATACAGAATTTGAACCGCAAAACAACAGTAAAAGCCTTTTTCTTCTTGCCCCAGAAAACATACTTCTGAGCTTTCGTAGTTTTTGCACCAATTGTGACCAGTTTTCCCTTTTATTTTACATCCCATAATCAATGGGAAATTAAATTTACTCTTTGGAAATTAGTAGTTTTTTGCCTTGACATATGGTAAGTAAATGTCACTGTGGACTGTCTCAATGTCTAATAGGTGACTGTCAAATAGCTACTCATCGATACCCATCTCATCTGATCAGTTTATGTGATTTAACATTTTCTATTTTTCTTTTGTTAGAATGGTTTTCACCTAGAAACCAAGTACTGGATTTTTATTAGCTGTTAGTCGTATCCATTGATATGTAATTGAAATATATCACCCTTCTGGTGATGATCTAAAGTAATATAGGAGTTCATTTTTTAAATTAATTAACTAAAATAAATCACCATTTTAATGATATTCCATTTTGTTGATATGCACTGTACACCAGGCTTATGTAATAACGTAATACATCTTCAAGAATGACACCTTGAGAACATTTTCTAAGCAGCATAGATTAGAGTGGGAGTATAAACAATTAAACCTAAGATATAAACCTACTCAGACATTACTCTCAGTTAGAATTATGCCAGACACAAACATCTTGTTTCATCTTGCATGTGAAACTGGAGAAGCAAAACACCAATAAAAAATCTGTGCTCATTATTATTTGTTTGTTTTTTTTTTGGTTTGTTATAATAGCTGGATATCAAAATCGAAACATGCCAAGTCCATTATGTGCCATAACGTTAATGTGCGAAGATGAGATCTGGTAAGATGCAATTAGGGCCTGATTTCCCTAGCTAGTCATCAGCGTTTCCAATAAACCAAGGATTGGCCCACTGGAGGTACTTGGCCAGCCATTGGGGCTTAAGGATGACTCCTTAGGGTTGGAGCAAGGCCACGCAGCTTAGCAGCTATGTTGGTTTTGTTTGTTTTGATCCACTCCTTTGCACAGCATGCCTTTGGAAGACTTTCCCTAGGATTACATATACCATGAAAAGTAGATTACTAGACTCTCTGGATTTGGATCAAAGACTGCTGAGAGAAGAGGTCCGCTAAGAGTTCTCTGATTTAATTATTTAACTTGGCATACTGCGTTTTTAAAGTCTTTGGGAAAAAAATTCTTACCATGCCACTTTATACTTTTCATTATATCAAACCAAAAGAAAGAAAACAAATGATTTGAAAAGACAGAGCCAGACAAAACACTTTATATCCGTCACATGGACAGAAAAAATGCACTGAATTACCAAGTAAACTAAAATAAGGATGTGAAACAAAGTCGCAAAGACAACTTTTCATAGATGTTTTCCAGCATTGCTCCATTATGACCTTTCCATAATACAGAGTTTGTTTCCAAACTTTTTCCATGTAATTGTTCTTATTGTCTCCTTTAGGGGGAACAGTCTGCAAAGGACAGTACAAAGATCCTACCAGTAAGAGATTTTTTAAATATTAATGCCGGCCCAATACTGGCAGATCTCCAGGCTGCAGGCAACATATCGTTCACTTGCTTGCTGCCATGAATTATTCCCAGTGCCCAAACATGCAAGGCAAAAACACAACAGACATCTGGAAACCAATTGCGAATCTAATCTACAAGTAAATGTGCAGGAAGGCAGAAAGTCATTTACAGCATTTAGCGCACAGACCTGTACGGAAGACAAACCCACACATTAAACGTCCACTCCTCCACACTTACACTCTATTTTCTTCCTGTGTGTGATCATCACAAACTTCACCCAGACCCACAATGGATTCCCGAGCACATCCATGCCATTTGCAGTATTTCTTCTATTCAGCAGGCTCTGTCCGGCTGTCAGCAGGCTGTCAGCGTGCTTGGTTGCTTGGCAAACAGCTCCGCCTCCTCCCAATAGTGAAATATGCCTTTAAAATGTCACTTGCTCCCGAAAGAGCAAAAGCAGAGGCAACAAATCGATTCACATTAGTTGGTCAATTGACTTTGGCTCGAACTTGGCTCCTGCTCTCTCTTTGTCTCGCCCCAAAGCTCTCTGTTTTTCTTTTCATCCCATTTTTCCCTCTCTTTTGTACAGAGCCCCATTTCCCACTTAAAAGAAACAAAATGGCACATTTATGTCAGAAATTTTACTTTAGTTCAACTGAAAAATGATGAGATTAAAAAGTGTGACATTTTACTTTAAAAAGCTTGAAATTAAGATTTAAAAAGGGATTAATTTTTGGTTAATAATTGTTATTTATGTGCTTAACATCCACCTCATTTTGAGGTAATTTAAGACTCTAAATTAATAGTCGGAAACTAAAAACTTTAAACAATGACATTGAAATTTATAAAGAGGAGTTTCAATGTCAGAATCATGGTTAAATTAGATAAATATGTAATTATAAATATAAAGCTTATAGCTTATAGATCTTATAATTATTGTTTTCTATCTCAGTTATGACTTACAAAATCAAAATTTATGTTTAAATTATAGTGAGTCATAAATCTGAGTTTCAGATTATTTAAGTCAACTGATAATCTCGACTTTAATCAGAATTATAACTGATATACTTTTGATTAAAGATGAATGATCACCAAAATTTTAAAATTTAAAGCCATTTGAATTCTGTTCCTTTCTAAACATATGTTGTCTTGAGATAAGGTAAAAAGTTTACTTTAGACCTATAGAGTAATTTCCTTATAGTCATATAGGGTGAGTTATAATTCATTTTAATTAATTGCATTGATTCCAATGTAATTCAATTCATAAAGGAAATGCAGTCAAGGAATTTTTTTATTTAAACTAGTAAAAAGTTTTAAATATAAAGAAAATCTGCCAATAAAATCAAGTGACATGGAATGATTTACTTAATACGAAACATGAATATTGTGAGCAGAGGTGGGTAGTAACTAGTTACATTTACTGTACTCAAGGCACAGAGCTTCAGCAACTTTTTGAGAAAAAAATTACTTTAAAGAGTAGTTGTTTTGCAATATACTTTTTATATAAGTAAAAATATGATGAGGTGTCACTATTCTTACTTGAGTAAAATGTCTTGCTACCTCACCCAGCATAAGTAACCTCATGCAAACAAGAACAGGCTTGTTATAAATAAAAATGCACAAGAAATAAAAACAGCAAAAAGTTTACTGTATAATTTATTTATTAAACTTGTATTTTACTTTATTTTACTTTTACTTTATTTAACCAGGAGAAAAAATCCCCCCCAAAAAACAAGGGAAAAAACCCATTGAGATGAATAACCTCTTTTTCAAGGGAGTCCTGGTCAAGAGTCAGCAAAGTTATGGAGTGAACAGATATACATAAAATTAAATGACCGTTACAAAAAAAGAAAAAAAAAAAATCAAGTAAAACAATGACAGATAATTTCAGCCATTTCAAATTCTTTCATCTTCAACTTAAAATCATTTAAGGGTAAAAACTTGGTCAACTTCTAGTCTCTTGGTAAAAAAAATTCTGCTCACAAGGAGCTGCATGGACAAAGGCTTTCTTCCCTAGCTCTGTGCTGGCTAAAGGAACAGTGAGCAGCAGCTCGTTGGATCTCAGGGCATAAGAGGCAATGCTTTTCTGTATAAGTATGGTACAAATGGACCTTTTTGTGTTACAGGAAGTAATTTACCATAATTTCCCTTACATACATCCTTAACTTACTATCAATTATGATACAAGAGATTTTATTGCAAAAAATATTCCACCTGTTTCTTCCACCTGATAATATTGTTTAACTACTGAATGTTATACAGTATTTATTTTATCTATCTATTTATTTATACATTTACATCAATTTAATCAGATGTTTTCATCAGTTACGCAGTGCTTGAGTAGCCTTTTCCCCATTTGTTTTTCACTCCTAATGAATTTATGGAATTTGTTGGCTACTTTTTTTCTTTTACTTGAGTAAAAATAAGCAGTGCTACTCTTACTTGCATACAGTTTTTGGGCACTCTACCCAAAAGGGATGGTAACTTTCTTTTCAACAGGAAGAAACCAACTGATCTCATTCAAAGACCCCAGTTTCTTTTAAAATCTTAGCATTATGGTTTTCTGAAGCTTATAATCTTGAAACGATCACTCATAACTAGGAGTCCAAAGTTTTATGTACATCATTTTAAATGTCATAGTTACTATATTGACTTCTAAGGCCAAAGATTTCCGGCTGTAATTGTCTCCAAAGTGGTGGAAATGAACTTTCATACTTTTATACCCTTGCTGTCCCCCATATGCGTTTCCTTATGGTTTGGTGTGTTTACAGATTCTCTCCTCTCTCATATTTCTTTCTTTTCTCTCCTATTACCAAATGAATGACTGCTGCTGCAGCCGCTCCAATTGGCTCTTCTGGCCGACCACCATTGTCAGGGCTCTCATTTCAATTTTCCCATTTCAGACTTATCCCACCGACATCATTAAGGCCCTCTTTCTCGGTGGCGCACTCGTTCGTTATCCTCTCCATTTTACACCTTTCTATCCTTCTCTCCTCCTGTTTGTGCGTGTCTCCTCTTATCTATCCCGCTCATTGTCGGAGGATTTAAAAAGGCTCTCTATTGGAGAGTGCAGAGTGTCTGGGCTTTGGTTTTTCATCCCAGTGACAGAAACCTGTTGGAACCTTCTTATTCAAAATGAAAGAGTTGGACTTTTTTTTTTTTTGTCTATTAAAGGGGATAGCATGGAGTCACGATTAGCTTGTAAACCTGAAAAAATAAGAAAAGATCCATTGTATTTGTTCCTTTTTGCAGTGATATTATTTCTTTTCCCCAATGACAGCTCTGAAGAATATTTCTATTTAAATTGCAGGAGATGTCATTGCAGGAGCTTAGCTTTTATTTCAGATGAAAAGGAACAGAGTCATATATCAGTATCAGTCTCATGTTAGAAATGGTGTGGGGGCTGTAATCCTTTACAGCAAAACCTGAAATGGTAGCAAATGACCTAAATGTCAGATTTATTTATTTCCTCATAAAGCCTGTTTTCTTTGCATTGTCCTTTAGAATTAAATAAATCAGTTTAAAATAAGTTTTATCATAAAAATGAATAGTATTTTTTAGCAGTGAAATATGAATTTAACCTATGGCAAAAACATAGGTTAAATTCATATTTCACTGTTAAATATCAATTTTTTTAACAACTTGGACTTAAAGCTGAAGTCTGTAAGTTTTTAAAAATCACTTTTTTGTCATATTGGCTAAAACTGTCCCTATGCCCAGACAGCAGTACATGTGATATGTAACCTGTGAAAAAAACTGCTTCTATTGGTCCCGCCTACTGCCTGTATTTCAATGTGGAAAGAATAATTCAGGACGAGCCAAAACAACCAATCACAGCCAGAGGAGCGTCTGATGGAGTGTCAATCACAGCTCACACACGCTGATACCCCCCCCCACCGCTTAACCTGCCGCTTCCGCGCGGCTGCTGCAGTCAGGAGGACGCGTGTGGAAGTCATGGCGGAGCGACAGCCACCAGCGAAAGAGAAACTGCCCTTACTGCCCCTGCCGACAACTGCTTACACGGCAAACTTCGGTATAACCAGCATCTTATATCTAGCTGCTTGGAGGTGAGTGTTATCGCTCTTACCGGTTCACACTCCATGCCGCGTATGCTGCTTGGACCAGTGGCGGCTGGTGAAAAATATTTTTGGTGGGGCTGATATAGCCTAGTGTATGTCTCCAACTAACCCGGAATAAGAATTCAAATAAACAATTGGACAATACATACAATTTAACAGTAATGATTTAATTTACTATATAATAACAGTAACAGTGATGATTTGGGTCACTGTGACGGGGTTCTTTGGCCTCCAAGAATCCAGTCTCAGTCGGGTTACCGGTGTTGGTGATTTATTGAGCTCAAAAACTCAAAACAGGGTGCAAAAGAAACTAAACATATACAAGATACTCTGGGCCTCAGCCTCCCTCCAGCTACCAGCAATGTAACAAAGAAACAGAAAACAAAAATTGCCGCTTTTCTTCCCACAGCCCTCATTAAATAGTTTAAGCCCCTCACCTCAGGCTCTCTTATTTCTGATTTCTTCTCATTAATCAGTTTTGTCCATATATTACCTCCACAAACAATTGATGTACAAAAACAAATAATTTTTACAACTTAATTCTTTTACACAGATTCATTGACTTATTAAATTACACCAAACTGGGTTTGAACCCAGCAAAGACGCAGCCAGACTGAAGATGACAAGTCCCCGCATAAACACGTACACACACACACACACACACACACACACACACACACACGGCTAACCCCACTGAAATATTAAGTGTGCACCCTCAATACGCCAGCAGGTAACCAGGACAGCTTGTGTGTTTTAAGTTAATAGAGCTACTGATCTCAGCGCGAGTGTATTGGTCCTCACAAACACAGTATAACAGGAATGTGTGTGTGGCGCGCAAAGTTAGAGAGGTTGTTTTAAGCGACGAGGTGGATTCGTCACAGTCACAATAACCATGAAATGAAATGTTCATATCATACAACAGGGATGTTCTTCTGGCAAACGGGTAGATAAATAAGGATCTCACCGAATTTGGTGGAAGCTGCATCTCGCTCGTTACATTCGCCATCTTCCCTCTAATTGTCTGCACCTGCGCTTGGGTTCAGAAGAGAAGCCTGTAAAAGCGCAGTATTTTCAGCGCCCCAATACCATAAAGTTCCGAGACGCTGATTGGCCATTAAATTCACCTAGCAATAGTACATGATTGACAGATTCTCTGCAAATGTGGGTCAGTCTGATCACAGCCCCCAGAACAGAGACGGTAGGAGTCTGTCTGTGGAAATCCACAAATTAATGACAGTAGATAGGGAAATGTAGTTTATATAATTTGTTTTGCTTATAGTTACACAGTCTAGATAGTAAAACAGACATTTATGAGTTAATTTCTAAAAATATATTTTACGTTTCTCTCTTCTTATCAGGGAGGGCGGTGCCCCAGCGCCCCCTATGGGCCGGCCGCCACTGGCTTGGACGCTTCTGGTCGCATGCGGAAGCCGCGAAGGTGCTGTGAGAGGGGTGGAGCTTGGAGGTGGGGCATAAGTGAAGCAGAGAGGGTGGGGGAGTGGCGTGAAACCTGTTTTTCTTCAAATTTTCAGTCGAAGTCTGCTCTCTTCTCAATGTTACAGACTGCAGCTTTAAGCTGTTATAGCATTATTTATTTGTCTCTTACTTTATTTTTTCAGGTCCTCAACCCAATTTTAATATCAACTCAAAATGACATTGGTTAATATAACTGACAGTTTTCAAAGAGTTATATTTA